AGCAGGGAGACCCCTGCCTTTGCCGGAAATACTATCTGTCTACAATACCAGCTGCTGGGGCTGTCAGGGCCTCTGTCGAGACCCCAGGCAGAGTTCCGTTAGCGGTCGGGTGAACGTTCAGCAATGAGTGTCAATATCCCTCGACCTGAACCGGCAAGTCAACGAGCTCGTGGCTCAATAGTTAGGGCGTTTGACTCTAATTAAAGGGATCGCGAGTTCGAGGCTCGGGTGGGACGCCACTTTGGTCTGGGTATGACTGGCTGACGACGGCTAATGAGCCAGAACCAGTCACACTTGTCTTTTTCGGTAATACTATCTGCTTACAATCCAGAAACGGTTGGACAGGTCTCTCATTTGTGCAAACTTGTGCACCGTCTTGACTGCTGACTACTACCGGACCCCACTGGGAGCGGTTGGGGCGTGAGCGTGTTTACTCCGGCAAGTAGCAGCCAGGTACGGCGTCAGGTAAGTGAGGTGTCTGCCAGAAAGTTAAATCGGATGGAACCCCCTTGAAGTGAAGCCTCAGACTGTGGTTTATCCCGAAAACTCAGCGATCCGTAACGCCATTGAAACAACTCTTTTGACTACTCCCCATGATGCCCGTCAGAACGGTACCAGTAGGATACCCCTCCGCCCTATAATGCCATCAAAACTAAACGGGCACATTTCTGTGTAAGGATGATTTGTATGGCCGCCTAACTAGGAAACTGCAAGGAATAGGTGGCCTTGCGATGAATGTAAGGGGGGGGGTGGGTAATTATTTCCTGTTCTAACCGTATGATGAAAGGGTAATACTAGCCCTAACCTGAACCCCAGCATTACCTCTAGCGTAACTCCAACTCTGACCTGAGCCTCGACTTTAAACTTATCCTAAAAATTAACCCTATCATCATCCTAATCGAAGATTGATTTGGCGCTAACTCACATTTAGTCTGGGCAGTTCCTGTTCCCATATTTGGGTGTCCATACAAGTCATCCTCACCCATTTCTGAACCATACAGTAAATAGGCAGCTTCCATCCCTTTAACCGACATCGATCGATCTTTAAGATACATATTTAAACAGATCTTAACCAGTTGGATACGGGCAATAATGACTCCAAGTTAACGGAGCAGATCTCGGCTCAACAAAAGCAGAATTACACCGGATTGCCCTCTTTCGAAAGACAAAGTATTGGCTGATTTTAAAAACCAAGTTCATTTTCCAAAGGCAGGTGCAGTGAATACGTTCCAAGACCAGAATTAATGCTGTCTTCCTTTTTTTCACTCTAGGTGAGAACCTCCTCCAACTTCGGCGGCAAATCCGCCTCCGCAACAGTTAAAGGAATCAAGGAGAGAAGAAAACGTATGTTTGATATTTTTACTTATGTTAACCACCAGAAAACTCACCATCAACATTATCACCACCACCACCATCATCATCACCTCCTTCCCCTCCCCCCAAAGCAGTTCTCTTGATCTCAGCCTATAGGGGGCGTGATTCGCACCTCTTGGTTCATCTAATGGACTTTTGATTGCTTTTCGCGTGTGTCAATCCACTCATGATGCGAGTCGAGACCCTCCGAAGGGGCAGCCCCGACTACAGCGCAATTGTTAGCGGAACTATGGGCTACAGGAACCAATAATCAACTTCTGCCTTGAACCAGTTTGTTCGGACCACCTGTGGTCTCGCCGTTTGCTCGCTCGCAGAACGAAAATGACAGAAGTGATCGGGAAAGGGGGGGAGGAGGAGGGCTGGCGAGGAGATCGCAGCGAGTCTCGCGTGCCACGTTTCGACTGCGTGCGTAATAACCCCCGGGGTTAGCGTCCGGAAATTGGCCGAGTGCCAGACACAGTGGGAGGTTCCGCGCGCGTCTCATGTAATCGTCCACTCGCCCTCCAGATCCGAATATTATTTTTTCATAAGTGTGAAGGTGTGCCAACTGGGGGTCAACCTCTTTCCTTTTAGAGTGCTTTAGTTAGCCACATGAGGCTAGATGAGAGAGAGAGAGAGAGCAATCAAGCGTTTTTTTCTGGGGCCTACTT